TTTTCTATAGACTGTGGTGGAAGATCTTTGTGTAGGCCATGCCAACTGTGCTTACACTGCTAGAAGCACTTGACATTTCCTTTCTGGATGGAATGGATTTATGTGAGCAACTCAAACAAATGGCCATACTTATAGACTGAAATAAAATAAGCATTTAAATAAGACTGTGTTTAATTTGTAAACTCTCCAGCATGTTCTTTCTTAAAAGAAGAAAAAGGCTGCCCTCAGGATGTGAAGGGTCTTGCAGGCTCATTCTGAACTGGGAATAGATGTAATTCTTTATATCCTGCAAACAGATAGTTTCTAAGTATAAGGAGGTGTGGGAAAGGTGGGAAGAGGGAAGTAAGGAAGGAATAAAGGGTTGAAGGAGAAAACAGTATAAAGAAGAATGGCCACATATCAAAAGGTGAGTTGTGGGAACCAGCAAAGACTAGTTTCACATGTTGGGTATAACATCATCAAATGGGCGCGTTATTAGATTCATAAATTCAGTCGTTTAAACCTATTTTCACAGAAGAAGCCTTCTGTACTTGCTAAGTAAAACTTGTCAAAAGATAGCCCTTGCTTATTTCTTAAACTCATCCTTATATGCATTGAAAAAATACCTATTGTATCACCAGCTTTGCTAGCAATTAGGACAATTCACTTCCAAGTTAACCTACCTGAGAAGTGGTGATGTGAAAGGGTGAGGTTGACCTCAAGAAGTTTTCCTTACGGTGGTGTTGTACTCTATTGTGTCTAAGAACTATATGTTTTAACTCATATGGAATATAAAACAGAAACTTATGTACACAAACAGCAGTGTGGTGGTTGCCAGAGGGAGGGGAAGGAAGGGGTCCTAATATGAGGTGACAGGAGAAGATTTGACTTTGGGTGGTGGCACATGGTCCTATATACAGACTTTGTAAATTAGTAATCCAGACATGAAACCTATATGTTCATGTAGACTAATGTCACCCCAGTAAAATTTAAAATAATGGGAAATAAAAATAAATACATGCATAAATAAATAAGACGTTTTCCACAGGTGTTTTGAATTAGGAGCTGATGGCTGAGAGGGTCCCTTATGGCTTCCCTCCCTAGCATTCTGACCAGCATTTCACACAGTGTACATAACTATTTCTTAGTAGCACAGCTGCTTGTGAAGAGGGTCATATCAGTAAGGATGCTTATTGCTGGCAATGAGACCCAACTTTATCAAATGTTACAAGCACTTCAGCAGTTCTAGACTGGGTTGATAGAGGGTTCAGAGATACCAAGAACCTGTTTCTTTCCATCTGTCCCAGCCTTTCAGTGGTTCCTTTTGGGGCTAATAATATTTGTGACCAAAGATGCCTACCATGGCCCTAGCCAGTTTGGCCCAGCCTTTCAGTGGTTCCTTTTGGGGCTAATAATATTTGTGACCAAAGATGCCTACCATGGCCTTAGCCGGTTTGGCTCAGTGAATGGACTGTTGGCCTGCGGACTGAAAGGTCCCGGGCTCAATTCGTCAAGGGCATGTACCTTGGTTGCAAGCTCGATCCCTGGCCCTGGTCGGAGATCACGTGGGAGGCAACCAATCGATGTGTCATTGATGCTTCTCTCTCTCTGTCTCTCCCCATCACTCCACTCTCTAAGAATCAATGGAAAAATATCCTGGGTGAGGATTAAAAATACCTACCATGATTCCAGGTGTCATGTATAAACCAACTGTCCAGTGAAAATAACCTTTTGTTCCTCCGCAGAATTCCTCAGACCTCATCCTACCTGGGTCACTTGCCTGGCTCTAATCACTGGCAGGGAATGAACCACTGGCTGAAATGGATTGTATTTACCCAAGTTGCCTGCATATGAGGGCAGACACTGGTTAAAATTGAGATGGCCAGAATGGAGGAGCGAATACTGGCTTCTGAGTAGGCATAAAAAGAAACTGCAATGATGAAATTAAATATTGAGGACCAGTTGGTACAGGGTGCAGTAAGAAATAAACATTTCTTGCCCTCAAAAAGATTTTAGTCCAAGATTGTGGTTCTCAGACTTAGCAGACACTTTCTGTTATAATCGGAACATTTCTAACATCCATCACACCCACTATCCTAAAATGAAATTTATATGTAACTTTCCTATATACACAATTTTTAAAAGGGTCAATCCAATGCCTTTATTGTTATATAAAGGATAAATGGAATCAATTTCTAATAAAATATTTCAATAAGTAAATCAAATACTGCTATACTAGAAAACAGTGATTTAGTCAGGTGCTTACTCTTAAGTATGGAAGAAGTAAAACTTCAATAGAGTACTGTAACACTGATATTTTAAAATAAAGACAATTCATGATTCATGAAGAGCTATAATGTTACAACTGTAAATGCATACTGATAATAGCTGTGTTTTACTGGTTAAAGACCATGAATAATATTACTGTTGGAAACATCATTTTCCAAAATGGTGTTCAATTCTTGCTGAAATTTTGAATAAAAGAATAATACTCCTCTTTATAGGATAGTTTTGTCCCTGGTAAATATTAAGGCTTTATATGTTCAAATAAGTAAAATAGAAGTTACAGGCTCAGATAATAAAAATCAGGCTTTACAATTTCTTAAAATTGAAATATAATTAACATACATTATCCTGTACGTTTAAGGCATGCAATGTGTTGATTTGATACACTTATAGATTGCAAAATGATGACCACCATAGCATTAGCTAACACCTCTATCACATCACATAATTGTGATTTCTGTGATGGAACAGTGAGGAGCTAGTCTCTTTACAAGTTTGAAGTTCATAACAGTGTTGTTGACGATTCACTATGCTGTGCATTAGATCTCTAGGACTTACTTGTCTGCTAGTTGCAAATTTGTATTTTACAATTTTTAAAAAAATATGTAGAATAGTTTCAGATTTATAGAAATGTTGCAGAAATAGTACACAGAGGTGATCCCATATACCCATACCCAGTTTTCCTTATTTTAAAAGATTAGTATGGTACATTTGTCACCACTAATGAACCTGTACTGATACTTTAAAATAAACTGAAGTCTATAGTAGACTCTATACCAGCCGTGGGCAAACTACGGCCCGCGGGCCGGATCCGGCCCATTTGAAATGAAT